GTCTGTGACAGAAAGTGTTACTGCTGACAAAAATGTACAGGCTTTTTTTTAAAACTCTCATTTTACACCTACACAGACACATTACAGATGCTGTGTATGGCAGATGGAGGGTCTAGTGCTCACTGGACTTGCTCTTGAACTTGACCACCATGACAGTGATGTTGTCAGGACAACCACGGTAGAAGGACTGCAGGACGATGCTCTTGGCGCCAAAGTGAGGTTCGTCCAATCGTTCCCTGATGAAGCGGACCGCCTCCTCGTTGCTGAAGGTGTCCCACAGGCCGTCAGACGCCAGGATCATGAACTCTGGCTGCAGCTTGTTCAGGTCGAAGGACATGATGTCAGGATCAGAAATGACCACATTCAGGTTCTTCAGAGGGTAATCGCCCAGGGAACGGGACATGGCCAAGATGCCCTGGACTCGCCAGGAGCCGTTGAAGCTGATGAAGCCACCTGAGGAGGAAAGCAGAGGAAGAACGGTTGAAAATGACTGAAAAAAACAGCAGTTCTGAGTTAAAAGAAAACCAAAAGTGAAGGTGGGAATAAGCAGATGTAGAAGTTGTGATGCTGTGGAGACTCTCCTCCTTTTGATCCAGTCTAACACCTCCATGTTCAGAGAGAAGTGTAAATCACAACATGGATGATTTCTACAGACCCAGACTCAATCAGTCAGTTCTCAGTGTTAACAGTCCTGGAACAAACTGTTTACGTTGGATTCATTTCAACTCATGTCACTTCCTCTGGGGAGCAGCTGTGTGTTCTCATTGGCTTGCAGGAAGGGAATTGTGCTGGAAAACTTAAAAAGTAAGGAAGATTCCATACTTGGTCAGGACGTCCCCCTGAGGAGAGCAAAGGTCAGACAGGGTTTTAGAAATAGCAAGGCTGGGAGGTTCAGGTCAGACTCTCGACATTGGCTTTTTTTTAAGCAGAAGAAGCAACAAAGAAACTAAATGAAATAAAGATCTTTAGGATGCTTATGACAGATGGAATAAATCTTTGTACACAGGATTTATAAAAAGACATCAGGAAAGAATGGAGCCAAAAAACCTCGATAGACGCACACTACACAGCTAAGTATTACCTAATCCGACCATTGGGTGGAGCCAGTGAGCTGCCCGAGCGGTGACTCCACTGAACCTGGCAAACATCCATTTAAATCTTCTCAGCAGTGAGAATATGCAGATAGAGTAGGAGGCAGAATTCTGCCTGAAGACAGAGCTTAAATACGGTGCAGTGTCTGTCTGGGTTTGATGAAGTGCTGCTCCCGAAACAGATTGTCTTATCAGGCGCCAGGTTTTGATGTCACACTTAGCCTAGAGACCCAAGGTGTGGGAGAGAAAGGGGAACGCTGCTGCTCACAAGATCAAGTCTTCGACCAAAACCTACAGTTTTCAGCTGAGAATCCTCTGTGGTGTTGAATCTCATGCACCGGTGTCTCACCTGCTTTCTTGATTCTCTTGCGTTCCTTCAGCTGGTAGGGTTTGTGGTCATGTGACAGAGGAATGGCGTTGCCGTCTTTATCACACAGAACTCCACGCGAGTCTCCGACGTTGGCCACCGTCAGCTCCTTATCGGTCACTACGGCCACCAGACAAGTGGTACCTGACAGGAAGACCAAGGAGAAGTCCAGTCAGTCTGAGGTCAAAACACACAGTTTGCCTTTAGTCATGACGTTTGCGTTTGAGAATTTGTCTCCACATTTTCCCATATGAATAATTCCATCATTGGGATTAGTCACAAATAAAACAGGTGACAAACATATAGATCTATGTGTTTTTTTTCAAGTTTTTGTCATATTCTGGAATCAGGAATTTATCTTGATTAATCGTGATTAATCGTGAATAAGCTGAGCTACCCTGTGATTGATCAGATAAAAAACATTTAATCTTTTGACTAGATTTTGTCATATTTCTTCACTGCAACTTGACGACCAGTCCATTAGAATACCATCTTTTTTGCGTAAACAGTTGGTGACCTTTGTACAGTCGTCGTCAATGCCCCAGCAGTACAGGAACAGGAGCAGCTGATTTATAGTCAATGTCGAAGAGAAGAAAATAAAAATGCCAAAAAGTGACAACAGCATTAGGTTTGGATCATGTGCTGCAGTTCTGGAGAAATAAGAGCCTGTGAAGTGAGAGGAGGAGGTGAGAGGAGAAGTCAGTGTGCAGTACAATTAAAACAATCTTAAAGGCAGCATTTTGAACATTAAAACAAGTATCCATATGCACAATGCAAAAACAATTTCCAGATTCAAATAGTACAAATAAAAACAGACTATTTTACTTTTTTTTGTTCGACTATTTTCCTCACAAACAGGACAAACACAAATATTAATTTATAAGGATGACATTTTTAGGCGTGAAAATCAATCAACTTTGTTTCGGTTGCTCAGCCACAGTGTGCAAATCACTGCTGCATTAGAAAAAACAATTTAGCAACAAGAGCAAAAAAAAGAAAAGAGCCCTCTTTGAAGTACTTTTTAATCAGATCTCCTCACTGCTTTGACTCATTTTTTTCCCTTTCTCTCTGTGTTTAGTCTCACAGCCAGAGAGAGCAGAGTCCGGACTCTAAGTCTGAGAACCTATTGTATGACATCCAACGTCCTGCAGAGCAGCGGCAGATCTGACCGCGGGGTCACACACAAACCGGGGGTGGAGGGGTGGGGCTGGAACAGAGGAAAAGGTCGAGGGGTCCCTACTGTCCATTCCATCTATATCCATTACACTGTTTAAAAATATGTTTCTATACCTTTCGTCATCATTACATCATCATTTGTGTCCCTAAAGCTGCCGCCGCAGGGACCTGTCGCTGTCACTGTACTCTTCTGTACACCATGCTGTCCAGTTAATTATCCTGTCTGCCAGGTCCCATGGCAACCAGGATGATGGACTGCCGTGCCCCGCCAGCACACTCCACCCAATTAGCCCGGCTACGCCAAGTTCATGTTCAACAATGCCTTCTTAAGAGCACCGTGACATGTACACGAGTGTGTCCTGGGCAGCGATTGGCTGAGCTTAGCAGCAAACACCTTTGACCTTACAATGACCTCCCATCCATCCATCACCTTAATTGAATGAATCCCAATCCCCACCTTGCTTAAATATCACAGTTAAAGGTGAATGTTTACTTTTCTTCTCTATCAGCCATCGTCTGTCGTCTGATAAAACGTGTGTGCAGAGAATCTGCTCTTTTCTGCCGAGACCAGTCTGGAGTCGTCTCTTCTTACAGCTCAGACTGTTCTCATTGTCATTTTAAGTGCCTCTCAATTGTTTTCTTTTACATCTGCGTTTAAAATATTTTTTCAAATATTTTTCAGAGCTTTGGATGACAAACTGTTGGTTCTGTTGAGCGTAATGACGACTTTATTCTCTCACCAAGTGAGTGCACGAATAAAAAAAACTCAATGCCACATGCACTTCTTTCTCTTTGTTGCAAAACAAACCAATGAAACAGAGGAAACAAAGCAGAAGTGCTGCAAACACACTTGAAAAGAGCAAACACTCAGTTTGGAGAGAAATGTGTTAAAGTCCAACCAAGGATGAAAAACCCGGGAAAAAAACCCTCAATAAAACCAGAAAATGTGACACTTTTCACTAGAAAAGAACTTCAGATGTGGCAGAGAGCAAAGAGTGAAGTGAGCTGGTGAAGCCCCGCCCCCACCCAACGACTGCTGGGAGTGAATCCAACTCAGGCTGGGCTGCACCACAGATGAAGAATTTGGTGAAGAACGAAGTCGTTCTGTAGTGTTTCTCTTTACTTTAGGGTGAGCCAATAAAGTATTTTTGATTTGGACTGTGTTTCTGAAATAACGAGGCAGTCATAGAACTTAAACTTAAACTTAAACTTAAACAACAGAGGACTGTGATAGGTCTGCATTTGAAGGAAAATCTGACAAATAAGCAATACGTTATTAATAACGTGTAACAAAGTATTTATTAGATATGTAAACTTTTACTTTTTAATAATGCTGTATTAATAATTTACCATCTCTTAGTGTCTTGTCTGACCTAGTTGGTGAATAAAACCTGTTTTTTGAAATACATGAAAATATAATATTTTTCACACAATCTTATTATTTAAAACATCCTTTATCTTAAAAATTCACTGTGTCAGTGTCAGATATACTGAAGTATCAAGATGTTTCATTACACCATATTGTATTCATATTGCACAGCACAGTATCAATTTTTCTATGAACAGTTAACGTGCAAATATTTAATATTGAAAAACTTCAATATATCGTTGTGCCTGTGGTATCGCAGTGCATCGTTTGCCCCTGTATCAGATTCAGATTCTTGCCAATACACAGCCCTAACTAACGTGTTCTTCAGGGATGCGTCACAGGACTACTGAAAAGTGAGCAGCGTCACAACATTAGGGACAGACTCACTGACAGTCTCTCAGGTGCTGGACATTCCATCAAAATCATATCTCCCTTCTCTCCTCCAAGCGTTTCTTTTTGCTGATAAATAACAAAAGGCTGAATGAGGAGGAGAGAAAATCTGATCCACTGTCATTGTCCAGGAGCAGCAGACAGCAGTGAGAGGGCATTTCTCTCTACCTTCACTGATGGATCGAAACAGGCACGGAGGAATGTGGACCACATTTAAAGGTCTCAGTAATCACACTGGCAATTTATGGGCAGTCTGTGGCCTAGAAGAGATGGGATTGGGCTTGGAGGGTGTGTGAGAGTGTTGGGAGGACTGCTGGTTTGAATCCCATGATCATCAGACCAGAGGTCTTACCACCGTCAATCACTGGGGTTTTTAATAATTGGGTCAAAGAAATAGATTAACTTTAAAGTCATAAAATAAAAAAATTACAGCTGCCAAAATTAAAGCATCAACTTTGATAATTGGTAAGTGTATGTAGAATGATACACACTGTACATGCCATAATTTAAAACATGATTGTTGTTGTTATTTATTCTCCTATTTACTTCCACGTTCCATGTTTTTTGTCTTTGCAGGGCCGTACAGTGGAAGGGTGGTTTGTGCTCTTGCCTTACAGCATGAAGATCCTAGGTTTGCTAACTGATTTCACCAGTTTCCTCTCACAGTCAAAAACATGTGGCATTAAGGTCGGTTTTCACTTTGACCCCTGGTGTGGAGGCACAGTTCCTCTCGGGGTGTCACTTCCTCCTTTCATTTGTTCCCCTTTTTCACACCTTACTTTGAATCTCTCTCCCCTCTGTCATCAGACCCTGGTTCATGTACATGAACTCCTGTCTTTCACATCATCTTTTCTACACACTCTCTCGTTCTCTCCCCACCTGAACAGATCTGATTCCATTTGTTTCTTTTTTCTTCTGCACCTCCTCATGTCCCCCCNTCACACTGTCCTCCTTCCACTCACGCATCCTTCCCTCTCTGACCCCTCTCCTGCCTCATCCATCCATCTTGCGTCACCCTGCACTCTCTCCCTCCCTGCCTGCGTCCCTCCTGAGATAATTACTACAAGCCTTGTAAAGATCAGCTTGTATTTAAACAGCTGAATAAGCAAGGCCCCGGGGCTGCTGACAGTCACTGTTCGACCACAGTCCAGTGGAACTGAGAGCACAAATTAATAGTTTGCATGCAGAATTAATGGAAACCTTTAGAATAAACCCTGCTGCCGCCAAACAGTCGTTTGTTATTGTCTGTGCAATAATGAGCAACACAGTGAGTAAAATCTATCGCTCTGAGGCCTCTTACTTTTTCTCTCTGTGTGAGTGTTAAAATATACATACATACAAATCACACACACACCTGCTTCATTGGAGGTGGCCGACAGCTTGTCCAGCATTTCTCTGTCCACTGATAGGATCTGCTGCTCCAAGATGGAAGGATAGGAGGGACCTCCTCTCTCCCTCTTGTCATCTTTCTCCTTGTCTTTGTCTTTGTCTCGCTCCTTCTCCCGTTCGTAGGCCAGTAGCTGCTGGCGCAGAGCTTCAGGCAGTCGGGCCTTAGCAAAGTCAGCAGCAGCCTGGTAATGAGAAAAGTAAGAGGTGGAGTTAGACGTAGGAATCATAAAAAAGAAAACTGTGCTCAGAAATAGATGTTCCAGACTCATCAGCAGCCCAGAAGCGCAGCTCACGTGTTATCATCATAAAATCTCTGCAGTGCGCTGCTTATGGATTATTTTATTATCACATCGGTTTACGACTCCTGCTGGTGAAAAGTATGACCTCGACCCATATTTTGTAATACAAATAAAACAAGATTTATCCTCAATGTTCCTCTCTGGACTCTGAGAGTGTGTGTCAAATCAGATCTCTATTGTTTTTAAAAGTTAAAAAAAGAACTAAAAGCAAACATTGTCATGGGTTGTGGCTGGACTTTGACTCAATACTTTTATTTATGTATTTGTAGAGTGAAATGTGTGGTTGCACCTGTATCCATATTCAAACAAGAAAGAGATTGAAGGAAGAATCTTTTTTGGTTTATTTTCTCAACCATCCAACTTCTATCACTTCATCCTTCCCAGAGTCACTGAGGAAATGAAGCCAAACCCACCAGGAGGGGGTGGGATTACAGCCTGGACTAATCTCCAATCCATCACATAAAAAGACCAACAACCATTCACACTCACATTCACACCTTTGGTCAACAATTCACCTCATGCCTGATCTGCATATAGGTATCACCACACACAGGGAGAACAAAAAGACCAGCGGTTAAAGCCTGGAGTAGAACCGCTGATCCTCCTGCTGCAGGGCACCATCTGTGACAATCTGTGGCTCCATTTTTCTTCTTAAGTGTTGATAAAATGTGATCACATGGACAGTAGCACAGCAACGGTACATGTCACTGAGGTCAAGCGGCGGGCCGTGACGCAGCTGTTTGATCACATCCACCCTCCACACTGTCCTTATTCAACTCTGTAGTTTCTAAACCAACTCCTCAGTGTCTGTGAATCTGTCTTCTCATCTTCTCTCCAAAGGTTGTCAGTGTGTTTTGGCTTTTCACTCCAAACCCAGTCACGCCACCACCATCATCTCCACTGACACCAAACAGCGTTCTATCTCTGTGGCTCTTACAGCCCTGCCTCCCTGCTGTCATGGTGATGTTCGGTTAAAAGTCACCGTGAAGCCTCTTTTCTTTTCTTTCCATCTCCTCCAGACTCTCTTCTTGTTTTTCTTTTTTTTTACCCCTCAATCAACGACATACTTTTATACTGCTGTTGCCATGAACACAGAAGGAGCCACAAACTCGGTTTAAATGCTGATAAACACTAAATAATAGTAGTCTCGTTCTGCTAGACTTTACAAACACCTATAATCTCAGCATCAGGCAAAGTTCTCCAGTGTTCAGTTAACCTGATTGAAAATATCCATGCATACAGAGAGAACTAATATCAGAGGCGGCGATGGAATCCATGATCTTTCTGCTGTGGCGACCTGTGGTTCAAATGGTTCTTCCCACCTCCCTTTAATGGACTGTGACAGAGTGGGACTGAGGTTTATTAAATGGACCCGTGCTTGGCATTCACCTCATAAAGACTAATTCCTGACCATCAAACCTGCTACCGACCAGAATTTCACAGCAGAACATCTGTCTGCAGCATCTGCACCAGGTTAGAGGATGAGACGAGGAAAATACAGGTGAGGAAGGTCAAGAGGGAGGGTAGGAAGGAAGGAGGTGATATAAGGATGTAGACCAGAAGAGGAAGGATTGGAGACAGTTATGCATGAAATATCAAAATAGATAAAATGAGAGGCTGGCATAAAAGTGCCGTGAAGGAATGCAAGGTGGAATTAAAAAAAGGAAAAAAAAAGAGTGAATAAATATAGAGGCAGAAAGCAGGCGTTAAAGACAGGCTTACTCTCTGTGAAGGAGCAGCTGAAACAGCAGGAGTCAGACATTCAGAATGTGTGAAGCTGAATAGAGATAAAAAAAACAAAATGTGAGAGCGCTAACAGGACGGTTGGAGAGCTGCTTCAGATTCAAGTTCAAACAAGCTCCACCCAGTGAGACAAAATATGTTTTTACACCTTGGGTTGGTGTGGAGCAAACAAAAAGCTCTGAACACACTTCCTTCCTCCTCTGACTTTTGTAAGCCGTTCACCTTTACATGCGTGCCGTCTTCTTCTTTCCTGCCTTTTGTTGGTGAGCATTCATCCGTGAGTGGCTGCTGACAGGAGCAGATCATTAGATAAAGTCACAACCATGGTGTGGACAGTGTCTAATGTGCATCTCTGTGCACTGAACCCATGATAGTCTACTTTGGACTGATAATCTATAAATAATCAGCAGTACGCATTGGAGTGCATCACCATTAAGGTGATGGAAAAACGACACGGTGTGAATAGGAAGAGTCAAATTGTGTGCATGAACAAACAGGTGCAATGCTGCCAGATGATAAAATGTCAGTGGAATTGAATTCAGTGATGCTGCACAAAAAATACATTTAATATCTGACATTATTATCTAGAAAATGAAATTAGATACACATAGAAAAATATGCAAGATAAAAACCTTCTGAATATTTATTTATGATAAATTACTAAGTCTGTGAAACTAATGGTCAACATGGTCATCAAATTAGAAAAAAAAAAAAAAAAAGGTAATGAGTCAAACAAACCTTTTGACTTCAGCAGATCCAGACTCAGAGAGTGCAGCTGTGTGTTTGAGCTGGTAAGAGAGAACAGAGACCGTAGGAGGAAATACAACAATCCAATCCAACGACTGTCAGCGCAATCGCAGAAACAACTCTGTCCACACGGTTCCTCACAGCTGATTCACAGTCCAGCACCAAAAGCCAGGCCTCTCAGTTTATTCAATCCATCAACATTCACACAGATTTCTGAAAATGAGGAAAAGCCCTGAGAGGTTTCTTTCTTTTCTTTTTCATCAGCCTGAGGGGATTTATTTAACCAGTGCAGAGAAATGTCTTTGCATGTTCTCTCCTTTTCTCCCTCTCTCTGACAGGTCCGGCCAATAGAGAAGAGAAAGAATAAACATATAAATGTAAGAGGAGACTGAGGAGTGTGGGAACCAGTCATTAGAGAGAAGAGACGAGTGACTTTAAAAAACAGACTCTGAGATAAGTGACAGTAAATCATCAAAGTAAAAAAAGTACAGAGACGGCAGTGGATTTTTATAAATGATGGAGTCTGGAGCAGGAACAGCATGAAAATTTTCACTTTGTTGTCTTCCTCTTCCAAGTCCAAGTCATAAATAATAGTCTGTCAGAACTTATTATTTAAACAGCACAAACGCTACTTTCTTAACCATAATTTCTTTAAAATATATATTCCGTATATTTTGTTGAGACAGTGAAGATGCTACAGGGACGTAGCAGGTTCTCCTCAGAATGACATTGCAGAGTCTGCAGGAATGAGGGGAGCTAGGTATCATTTTATTATCTCGCACCTGAGCTCTGTATGTGTCAAGGGTATGCCAAGAATAAGGTTGTGAGGGTATGTGTGTGTGAGGGTGTTACATTGTAGTCACCATTGCATAATCACAACGTCTGTCATGTGAGTAGAGAACACTCCAGATAGAACACACATGCAGGGAACGCACAAGTATGTCCATAACAGGGGGTGAGATTAAAAAGTCATTTTCTCTGAAGAACAATCAAAAACGAAAAAAAAGTCAATTTGTTTGTGTTTGTGAGTGTAGTAAAAATTCCTGTGAAAGTGGAAAATGATGATTTTATTGCTATAATAACTGGATTTAGTGACAATCATCCCAGCAGTAAATAAAAAAGGGACAATGAAGAAGGAGGAGAGCTGAAGATCCAGAGCTGATGGTTTTTTAAATCCTGTATGAATTTATGATCCTGTTTAAATAAAGTGTGGTTTTCACATCAGAGCTGGAGCGATGCACTACAGGGGCGTGGCTAAAGTGATGGGTGTCAGATCATCCACTGGACGTTATGATGGGGTGTGGCTGATACACCGTGTGGCTTTATTTCCATGAATACTGCATCAGTCTGAGGTCAGCGTGTCCACCGTTGAGTCCATGTACTGCTACATCCTCATCAATAACCTCACTTACTTCTGATGCAGCGTGAGCTTGAAGCTGTGTGGCTCTGCAAACACCCTCATCTACCTCCCCACCCCCCGCATAAAACCCAATTTTAACCCAGGCATCCTGAAACCATTCACTCTCACAGGCACTAAATCTCTCCCAAATCCACTGCAAACAACCACAGATGGGATCAAGGTGGGTGAGGGGATGAAGGGGGGTAGAGTAGGTGTGTGTGGGGGGGGACTGAGGTAGAGCTCTGAAGCAGAGGTGGCGGTGGTGTTGCTGGTGCTTCTCTGAACTTCAACATCTACTTTTATCCTGCAGACAGAAATCACACAGTTGTGCACACAAACACGCAAATCCATCACGGCGAGCAGCACTCACATTAAAACACCGGTCATGTTTCAGAGCGCGTCTGTAATGGCCAACACTCTGCTGCACGGCTGACAGTGTACACAGACGAGAAATGGCTGCTGTGGAGTGAATTAGGATTTCAGGAGTGAAAAGCACAGCCATAAAAGTGGATCGGGGACAGAAAGTTGAATAGGAGTTCATTAAAGTGGAAGGAAAGGCTGCAGTGCTTTCTGTCTTCAGACAGAGAGAAAAAGAGAGGGGGAGATAAAGAGAGACAAACAGAGAGACAAAGGGACAAAGACAGAGATTTAGCCCCCTCTCTTTTCTCCTCTGTCCGTAAATAAATGATAGAATAGAAATTATCTGACTCTATTAATACCTACATCCGGTCGCCGTGGTAACCACCGATAATGCGTGCTGTGGGCTAAACATCTGTGTCCCTTCACTACATGTCTCTTTTTGAGTCCCCTCAAAGTTGCAGCAGTAAACAAAGACCCCCCTCCCACTCCACCCCTGAACCACAAACCACAGGTTGTTGGCTTATTCATTTGCCAATAAAACATATTTTACAGCAAAGGTGACCCAAGAGGGAGGTCTTCTAATCTGAACTCTGAAATCAATCTAAACCTGAAAATATCCTCTTTCTTAGTGGAC